GGCCGGCCTCCGGGGCCGCCCCTGGTCCCGCCGGCCGGGCATGAGCGAGCCGCAGCCATGGACACCAAGCATTTCCTGCCGCTGGGTGAGTGTCGCGGCGGGCGATCACGGCGGGCGGACCTCGGACCCCGCGCCCCTCCGCGAGGTGGCCGCGCCGGGCGGGGGCCGGGCCGGCAACTTTTCCGGCCGCACGGCTCAGGGAGGGCGGTGGGTCGGCCGTCCCGGAGTTGTTGCGGGGCAGAGTGGGCGGCCCGGGGTTGGCAGGTTCACTCCGGACCAGGGGGATCCCCTATGTCCCCGACTAAATTTAGCCGGACCCCCCGACCCACCCCCCCGCTTCGCTCTGGGCGCACGCCCGCCGCCAGGGTGGCCGTCGTCTGCCCCGCGACTCCCGGCCACTGGACACTTCACTCCCGGTGGCTGGGCGTCTTGCCCCGGCCCAATGCGGGCCCGGCGGACGGCTGGAGGAACTTCTGTGTTCCGAGCCTCCCAGGCGCTCCGGCTCCCGAGGGCCGATCTGGGCCCTTATTTTTCTCCGCAGCCGCAGGCCCGGGCCCTTGCCCCTTGGGTTGTGTGCGCTCGGAGAAAACAGCCTGATCTCACACCACCCGCCCAGAAAGCAACCCAAGCCCGGTGGGCAAGTCACCCAGGGGCCTGTAGGAGCCTCTGGCCTGAGAAGGCCCATCCCAGAAATGGGCCGCTCTGGCTGCACTTGGGATGCAGAGAACTGGAGACACATTTGAGAGGGCACCCCGGGGAAAAGCTCAGTCCGTGTGTCTGCTCTCCCGTTGCCACTCGCAAGGCTTGCCCCCCAATTCCAGGCCCTCATAGGCGGAGGACGGGGCACAGCCCCCACCGCATTGCCCTCCCCAGGGCTTTTGAGCCAAGGGAGGCGGAGAGAGAGGACTTTATAAAATGGGCCTGAGATCGATATTAATTTGGTGGAGGGACTGCCAGGCTGGGTGACAGATTTGCGCTGAATGGAAATTAAAACAGCTGATTATGAATGAAGACCAGGCCGTCTACTCCTTCGCCTGCCCACCACCCCCTGCGGCTGGGGTGCTAGGCGCAGGAGGCCCACCCCCGGCTGCAAGGAAGCGCGCCCCGCACCTCCCCCCAGAAGTGACCAGGGGCCGGGAGCCTCCATGGTTGGCCCACAGAATGTTGGAGAGAGGGTCTGAGTATTGAGGGGCCTTCGAAGTTTTTACCCTCCATAGTTGTCGCACCCGGGACTTTCTATACTCAGAGACACCTCCTCATTGCAGTTCCCAGGGGTGGGTCCACTTCTACCCATTTTGCAGATGAGAAAACTTGCTGGGAGAAGGTGTCTTGCCAGAGGTCCTAGGTTCCAGAGTGGTGGGTTTGGGGTTGGAACCCGCAGTTTGTGGGTGCCTGAGTCTGCGTCAAGGAGAAAAAAAAGTTGTCTTAAACTTACTGCTGCTAGTCTCTTAAGAGGGGTGGGCACAGTCATCTCCTACCCCCCATTAAAGCTGGCTCGATGCCTATGAATGCACTTGCATGCGTGAGTGCACACGCACGCGCGCGCGCGCACACACACACACATATGTACACACACACTCTCTCTCTTTCTTTCTCTCACTCTGTCTCAGCTGGATTCTTCCGGAAGGCTCTCTTCTGGAACCTGTATGCTCATCTCTTTTGGGCATCTCTGCTGTGGGGTGGGGGCTGGCTGCCCCCTGACTGAGTTCTAGGGCAGGACAGGTACCTGTCCCTGATGGTGGAGGGTCAGACAACTCTAGGAGCTGGTGCAGGCTGGGGCATGAAGGACAGGGACCAGCATGCCCAGGCTGCAGGGTGACTGAGCGTGAGTCCCAAGACAGGAGGGACCTTGCCTCCGACCCAGTGCCCCGGGGCCCTGGTGGGTACTCCCTGCAGACTTATGTTCAGGGAATCTCCCGACCCAACTCTGCTGCTTGCCGGGGGCCTCCCAGGCAGCCCACGCCCCAGGCCTGAGCTTGTCATGAACTCTGATTACATTTTATTTTTTTCTAAGCTTGTGACCAACCCTGAAGTCCAGTGGACCTGAAGGTTCACTTCAGAGACGCCTTGCCTAATCCCTTGTTAGGGGTGAGTGTCCAGGGCAGACCCCGAGTAACTGGAATCCTCTAACACCCGTCCAGTTGGCTGGTCCGAGGTCTAGGCAGGAGTAAGTCCTCTGTTCAGCATCCACAGCAGTGGTGGGTGGGACACCTTCACCCTTGCTGGAACCCTTCCAGCTGTCCCCCACTAAGCTGCCCAGGAAGTCTACTGTCCACATCTGGAAGGACCTGGGGTCCTGCTTGCTGCCCTGTTTTGTGGGCTGGTGAGCTTGAGCCTCAGCATCCAAAGGTTTCACACAACACCAGACCCTCCCAGCTGCCATGGCCCTTTGTGTGGGGGAGGCTGGGGGGGCCAGCAGCAACGGCAGAGAGGCCTGATGACTGCTCCCTGGGGAACTCTTGGTGGGGGAGTTGGGGAGCCTGAAACTGGGCAAGAGATTCCTAGTAACATCAGTGATCCAAAATAGAGCACATTCTGGGCCTCCCGAAATAACAAGGTCATGTGACTACGAGGCAGGGCCTAGAGTCCAGCTTGGGCCTGATCAGGCAGTTGGCAGCTCTGTCTGGGCACTGCCGACTGTCGACTGTCGGGCGTTTGTTTGGGTAAACTCTGAGAGGCTCAGCGTATTGACTGAAGAAGGCGTGAGAGCAAGGAAAACAGCCTTTACATGCTGGCCTGGTGGTGGTCTGGTCCCCTGTAGCCTGGGCAGCCCTGACTCCCTCTGCCCAGACACGACCAGAGGAGCTGGGGCCCCAGCAAGTCCTGGTGGTAGGGATGGGGTGGCCAGGGTTCTTTGGGGCATGTGGGGTGCAGGGTTGGGCAAGGAGCCCAGTCATGTGGGGTGACTGCCGCTCCTTTAGCTGCGCCTGTCCTTCAGGGCCTTTTGGGGGAGTCACCGCTTCTGGGAGGGCCCCCCTCCTCTGATGCTGCCTCTCCCGCCCCTTTGGCGGCTCACTCCCTCAGAAAGGATGCCTCCCGGGGCTGCGGAGCAGCTCGGAGCAGGCTTGCAGGAAGGGCCCTTCAGCCCAGCGGGCCAGGCCTCTGCCTTAGGTGAGGGGCCCTCCCTGGGTAGTGCAGTGGGACAGGCTTTAGACGTGGGTGGAGTGGGCTACAGCTTTGGTGTTTACCTGTCTGGACTGTGTGGGGTCTGGCCAGGGCTCCTGATGCTCCGGGTGGAGCCTCGAATGGTGAGCTGAACCAGTCTTGAGGGAAGAGGTACTCCTGGGCCTGGCTGTCCCTGCAGGCCCAGGGCAGAGGCCACAGAACTGGCAATGGGCCAGCGCTGTTATTGGGGCCAGGCACTGCACGCCAAGACCTGCCCTTTCCTCCTTCCCCTTCAGGTCCCATGCTCTCATTCTTAGTTGGTTTTGGTGGATGGGGCTGAAGGGGTCCCATGAGCTGGCCTGCTTCCATGGTCATGGCTGTTGGCAGGGCCAGGCAGGGGAACTAGGGTCTGGACTTGTCTACCTGGGCCCTCTCCTGGCCACCCAAGCTCCTAGAGAGCCTGTGGGCTTCTACTAGGGTCCTTGGGCAGTTGGACTTGCCGGACACCATGGAGGACAGCCCCTCCTCCCTGCAGCCAGTCTGCGCAGTATTTACGTTTTATAAAGGGGCAGCTCCGTCCTTCCCTCCCCTCCCCTTTTCCCTGTTTTCTCCGGTCCGTTTGTCACTAGTTCCCCGGGGTGGGGGTGGGGGGAAGGGGATCCCGGTTCCCTAGGAAGGAGCTCCTGTTGATTTTTGGAGGCTCATGTCGCTGGCTGCTGGTCTCTGTCCTGTCTTCCTGTGGCCCGCATGAAGTCCTTGCAGCCTCAGTTGTCCCATCTGTCAAATGGGCCCTTCCAATGTGTGGGCGGCTGGGATTCCCAGCTGTGTTCGTGGTGTACACCCTGAAGGATGATGCCACGTATGCTGAGGCCCGGGGTGGGTAGTTTGAGGACCACAGAGCCACAATGTGAGGCAAGAGCTGTCTGCCACCCCTGTTCCTTCAGCACCAGGTGGTCAGTCCCGGAGCCCCTGGTCAAGGCAAGACCCTCCTGCCCTTGGAAGTCCAGTGTTCTCAGACCCCACCTCCTCAGGCCCCTGCCCGCCTGGAGGGAGCGTGGGAGGGCTATTGGGTCCTTTGCGGGGTGGCTCTCCCCTGGGGCTCGCAGGAGGTGAGGGACAGGCGCTGGCTGGCACACCCATCCAGGCGGGTGTGAGAGGTTTGGAGCAGTTGTGCCCCAGCGCCTCGCAGACGGGGAAATTGCACCCTAGAGTTACAAAGCAATTGTCTATCTCAGCAGCTGAATGAGCGTGAAATGGAGCAGAAAGTAGCGAAGTCAAATTGGCCCCAGCCGATACCGGCATGCGGGAGGGGCTGCACACACGCGTGTGCAGGGTCTGGGCATTCGAGAACACTCACTTGTACACATGCATGTGCCTTCTTACATCATCTGCACACATACACACTCAGCACACCTACACACACGTTCATGCTTGCACACAGAACAGTGGACACATGAATACACATATACTCATACTCAAGTTCGGTCTGTGGACACATGAATACACACATATTCACACTCACGCCCCCATCTGTGCACACATGAATACACACACACTCACGCATGACCTTTGCACTCACACATTCACACAGCTTGCACACATGCACACTTAACATTCATGCTTGCTCATGCTTGCATGCAGCACACACACACAACATGCGCACCGCGCAGCCCTCCACATGTACCCGGTGGCAGCCCCACACCTTCCCTTGTGTCCTGGGGAGGGCTTTGTGGACTGCTCAGCCTGCCAGCTTCCATCCGCAGGGCCTCACTGAGCAGCTACTTAGTGCTGGAGTCCGGCTGGGCTGAGGGCGGTAGCAGGGAGGGTGTAACAGGTGGTGTGTGTAGGGGGGAGGGGCTGTGCAGGTGGCAGGGAGGTGACACAAAGGCCTGGATGGAGGCATGAGATCTGGCAGCTCCAGGGGCTGACAGGGCTGGGAGTGCCGGCTCCTGAGCTGATGGTGTTGGTGGCCCCCGGAAG